GAACTGTTTCAGATTTTAGTTTTGAAAATATTAAATTTGTTAGATTATATCATCATGTTATTTATGTTTTAGCCAATTATAAATCGGTATTATATTTATCACGTGATTATATAAATTTTGAAATTTGAAACATATAATAAATATTTGATGGCTTTTTATGGAACTCACTATACAAACAGATGCAAACAGTTGCTTAAATAATTACACATATTTTCGAAATTTTCACAACATTTTTTATGAATTAATTAAACAGTTTAATTTAAAAAATCTTGTATTTTTAATCTTTTTACAATGAAAAATTATTTGTCAACTGAAAAAAGTAAGCAAAAAGAATTATCACAACCTAAAACTTCTAAAGAATCATCTTCAAGTAGAAAACATGAAGTAAAACATTGCAAATATAGAAATAACCCAGATCCAAAATGGATGGATAATGGTAATAATGCTTGGTTAGAATACAAAAATATAAATAAAATAGTAAACATGTTTTGTAAGTGATGTAAAGCAAAAAAATATACAAATAAGCTTGTAAAAGAAACAATTAATTATAGAAAACAAAGTATTGATCAATATCTTAAAGGAGTTACAGATATTACATAATATAATTTTATTAGAACTCTCTTTACGTAAGATATCTAATTTTAACCAATCAAAATAAAAATACAAAATATATATTAATTTAGCTATAGCATACGTATTTAGGTGACCTGAACCCTAACTTTATATATTATTTTTCTGAAGCAGAAGTAATACACAACTTTATTGAATCAACTAACCTAATACTTTTATAGAATAGTAGAATATTTTTAAGTCAGCTTATAATATCATTAAATTTTACGTTTCAAAGAATGACTCTTTCTTATACAATATGAAATCATTTTTTTACACTCATTAGGAGACTTAAATAATGGTACTTATGTTAAGTATAGTGAGATCACAGTCATCAATTGGATTTGAAAAATCTGAACCTGCCTACTCGCATAAGATATTAATATTAAATAAAATCAAAAAAAATAGAACTTAAAATCCATCAAAAATATCAATTATCTATCATCTTTTTACAATGTTAACTTTTATTATTTTACAAATGAAATATGAAGTTATCTGTTCATATAAATAAGAAATAAAGTCTAGTTTATAGTAACAATATATGACTTTGACACAAGATGTATTTTTATATATACATTTTTAGTATTATTATTTAGTGATAGATTTAAATTACCATTGTATTATTTAATTATATTTATAGTATCATAAAGTAATCGCAACCCCTTAATTTTATTAGTTTTTAATTTTTGCGTTTATTTTATATATCAGTTCAAAATGCAAAGTTATCTTTTAACTCCAAAATTCATTAAAAACTTTTGTTACAAAGAACTAAATTCTACTTATCATCATTTCGCATATAGGCAAATAGTTCTGACTAAAAATCCTAATTACAATTATGAAAGCCTATTTTATGAAGTAAATAGTGAATGGAAAAAATACAAAAAAGGCAAAAATATTAAAGAAATAATCAAAGATTTTTTAATATACCAGTTCCTATATAAGGGTTTCTTGTTTTACATACAAAATATTTAGCACAAACAGTCAATAATTCATATATAGATATTATAGATACAACAAATATAATAATTCAATTATTACCTTAACAACTAGATAAATTACCTCATGCAAATACCTCTTCTCAAAAAAGAATTTTTGATCAAATAAAAGAAGCTGAAAAAAAATTAGTAGAATTTATCTCTTTTTATAATTTCACTAATGATATTCAACTTCGTAAAGATTTTTATATGCGTATTGAAAGTTTAAAAAATAATTTTAAAGAAAAAAACAGCTTAAAAAAACTTAAACAGAATGCAAATTATCAGCAAAAGTCTAGATTAAAAAAAGCAACATGTTTAAAGGAAGAGAATAAAGCAGTTATATACAATCATATTGGTTGTCTTCTAGTACTTTTTAAATATTTTGATCTTCTTAAATATATATATAATTCAATTGAATTTGGTGTGGCTGATGCTAAAAGAAGAAAAGAAGTAATTAAAGTTAAATCAGCAACACATTTACAAGAGGAATTAGAAAATAATTATAATGAATACTTATCAACAAGTACACTTTGTAATTATATATTACCAAATATTAGAAATTTTATTGCAGTAAAAGCCTATTACTACTCTGCAATAGTTGGAATAGCTAATGTTTCACAAAGTAAAAAGAAAGAACATATTGATTTATATTATTGTTTAGCCTCAGTAAAGGCATCAAAATTATTTGCAAGCACATTTTTTGATCTAACGATTATGATATCTCAGGATGATAAAGCAAAGGTTAATATTAGTATACCTGCTGTAAGACATACGTTTCAAACTATATAATCAATTACTAAGCCTGTAGAAGTAGAAGATCATGATTTTCCAATTGGTGCATCTCAAAAGCTAATTCTAAGTATTTATTTAATGACCAATCTGACTGATTCAAATGATACTATTAACGTGTAATTCTTACAAATTACAACTGTTAGACAGGGTATTCAAGTGATTTATTCTTTTAATTAAGCAGTAATCTTTTAACAATTTACAAGCTTTAACTTAGATGATTTATCAATGTATTTATATTATTATAACAAGTTATGATTCAAGAGATTGTCAGTAGTGTGTATTTATAAATATTATGTTTATTCACAAATAAAATAATAATAAAGATGAAGAAAGAAAAAGAAAAGTAAAAGAAAATAAATACTAAAACTAAAATATAATGTGATAGGCTTAGTTGCCTCTAAATTGTAGTGTAATGTGATAGACCTAGTTGTCTCTAAACTGTAATATAACGTAATAGGCCTGATTGCCTCTAAACTGTAATATAACGTGATAGGCCTGGTTACTTCTAAACTGTAATGTAATGTGATAGGCCTTCAGGATTGGTTACCTACGTTGGCTAACAATACCTCATATACTGCTAAAACTACTCAAGCTATCTTCTCCTCCTTTTACATGAATTAACAAGTTACTTATCTATATAAAATATATTATATAGAAAGATATAACTAATATATCTAATATATCAGCTATGTCTAATATGTCAGTTATGTCACATATGTCTGACATGTCTAATATATCAATTATGTCATATATATCTGACATGTCTAATATGTCAGTTATGTTATATATGTCTGACATGTCTAATATATCAATTATATAATATATATCTGTTATATCTAATATGTCGTTTATGTCGATCATGTCTGATATGTCACACATGTCAGATAAGTCATTTATAAATTGATCATTCTCCTGCGTCACATAAGCTGTGTCACATTTACCCATATACAATACAATGAGAGTAAGGTAGCTTGTGATTTATGTATAATCCCAATAGTATAATAGAACAAACTCTTTGATATATATGCAAGATTTGGTTAATTTTACATCAATAAGAGAATACAAAGATATTTTCAAAATTAATAATATAATCAAACTGATTTAAGTAATATTAGTAGATAAAGGATCAAACAAAAACTTCTAATATCTTAAAAATATATATTAATATTGCTGTCTATTTAAAAAACTAGATTTTGACTATCTGACTATATGTATTTATATTCTAGAACAAACTGCATTCAATCCTGTTGAAAAAGCTATGACATCCTTATCTAAAAAACTAGTAGGAATTTCTTTTTCTATTGATAAATTTGGTAAGGATCTTCACTAGTTGAAATAGTTCAAATCGGCTAAAAATTGAATAGCTGATTTTAGGCTGATTTTGATACTATTTACGTCCGATTTGTCATGTTTTTCAATCAGCACAAACAGGTACTGATAGATGCTGATCAACCCCAATTAAACATGGCCATTCAGAACTTAAATTTAACTATAAATCAGCCTAAAACTGGTCTCAATTCAGCAATAATTCAGACTCTGATAGATGCTGATCGATCCCAATCGGATATGGCCATTTAGAACTTAAATAACCATAAATCAGCCTAAAATTGGCCTCAATTTGGCAATAATTCAGACGCTGATAGACTTCAATCAGACAAGCAATTCAACCATAAATTAGCCTAAAATTAGCCTCAATTCAGAATCAATTCAGTAACAATTTAGACGTCAATCAATGCCAATCGACTCTAATCAGACAAGTGATTCAGCATCAATAATTGGTACATTTTATTTATTAAATTTATTAAATATTAAAATTTTATTAATAATAAAAACCTAATATAAATTTGCAAAAATATAACAAAATATCACTAAAATCTACTGATTAATTTCCTATTAAAAATAGAATAATAAAATAATAAAATCTGATCCATTTCCTCCCAAAATCCCCTTAAATCATCCTAAATATAGATAAATAAATAATATATGATAAAAATATGATCCATTCCTTCTGAAATCGACCAAAAAATGTAAAATAATAAATATAAAATGTAGAAAATAGAAAAATTAACCCAAAATTACCCTAAAAATATAGATAATTATTAAAATCGACCTGTTCCCACCCAAATCACCCAAAAAAAATGTAAAGATAATTATTAAAAATTGACCCGTTCTTACCCAAATCACCTAAAAAAAACATAAAAATAATTATTAAAAATCGACCTGTTTCCAACCCAAATTGCCCAAAAAAACATAAAGATAATTATTAAAATCAACCCGTTTTCACCCTAAATCGCTCAAAAATATAAAGATAATTATTAAAATTGACCTATTCCCACCTAAATCGCCCAAAAAAAATGTAAATATAATTATTAAAATTGACCCGTTCCCATTCAAATCGCCTGAAAAAACGTAAAGATAAATATTAAAATCAACTTGTTTCCATCGCAAATTGTCTAAAAAAACGTAAAGATAATTATTAAAATCGATCTGTTCCCACCCAAATCGCCTAAAAAAATGTAAAGATAATTATTAAAATCAACCTGTTCCCATCCCAAATCGCCCAAAAAAAACGTAAAAATAATTATTAAAATCAACCCGTTCTTACCCAAATCGCCCAAAAATACATCATTCACAATTGTTCATTACAGAATCGTCTTCATCTTCTTCAGCAGTGAATGAAATCCTCCTTCTGACTTCAGTATATTCCTCAGTTTCTGTTACATATTCTTCTGCAGTTGTAACTCCTACTTCGACCTCAGTATCATAGACCGCATCAGGTTGTGCTTTATATGACCACTTTGGAGCATTATAGGGATGTGGCTAGTCATAATGCTGCATATTATCATTGTATTTTCTCTTTCGTTGAATTTGAGATGATGATGTTACAGCAGCACAAGGATTGAGTACCTTTCTCAGTAAATTTTTCAGCTAAAAAAAGAAAATAATTAGTGAAATATACTAAATAAATTCGAAATATGCTAAATTAGATAAAGAAAATAATAAACCTCAGCCGATCACTAAGAATAGTCATATACAGCGATAACGGATCTTTGACGATTTTCTTCATCTGTTTCGCTGATTTTTAGTGAATGATATAGGCAATTGCTAAGAATTCAGAGT